TCATTTTCTCCAAATCTCTTTTAACAAAAGCTTCGTAAGACTCGGTACATATTGTATTCGATAGAGAATTTCAAGAGCTATTAAAATCACTATTTGGATTTGACCTGGCTACTCATTTTCACTGAAAAATCTCAAAAATAAAAATGTCTTAAACTTTTGCTGTCCACTATAGATTTATAAATATAAAGAAGAGTAAAGGACAAAATTGGAAAATTTAATTTTTTAAACAAGTTAATATTAAGTCATAATCATTATAATTACACCTCCGGACAAGTCTTTCCCCCTCTATGTTTTTATACTATCATAGTTCGCAGGAAATTTATTACCAAGTAAAGATATAACATGAGAGTTGTATTGCAGTATAGTGTACAGATCACACTGCAATACAACTCTCATGGTATATCTTTACTTAGTAGTAGATTTCATGCAAAGTATGATAGTATAAAAACATGGAGGGAGAACGACTTTTGTCCAAGGGTGTACATCAACTTCTCTAAACATATTGACGTATTTATCTTATCTTTTTCAGATATATGCGGATATCAGTGAAACTGGTAATGATCATTTAAGTTTTTCTATTTAAATTTGATATCTATGAAGTGTAAATAATGTTTGTCGAAGAAGTTGAAATTATAATAACAAATGCTGTTTGTGAACAAAGATTAAATTTAGAAGAAACCAAACAAGTGATTTTCAAGGATTTACTGATTGAAGAGTTGCTGAATCCAGCAGACGTGAAACTTGTTGAGACTTACTATATCAAAATTCTTCTTGAATGTGCACGTGTCGACGTTGAACGATGTTTTGATGCATGTTGTCAAGACAAAGAGTTCGTGAAAAATTTCGCTCAAAATCCAAACCAATTTTCAACAATCCAAGACATAATAACAATATGTCAGTCGAAATATTATATCGTAAAACTAGAGTCCTATTTGAGTTTAATCGATGAATATGATTTGACAAGCTTTATTACGAATTTGAAGGCTTATCTATGGAGAAAAATACTAGAAGTGACCAACGATAGTTTTGAGGAACTTGAAATGTTACGATGTCTTAGTCTATGTTTTCAGACAAATGCGATACCATCTATTGTACGAGAAAAATTAGTTGAATTCCAAAAAGGCTCAACAGCACAATCACGTTCTGCTCATTTTCTAAAAATACTTATGAAAAAGATTCCAACCAAAGAAACAATCTATAGTCAACAACTTCAAAAGTTTTTACGATCGACGAAACATCTGAAATCGGATTATCTCTTCCTGGAGACTCAATTATTATCATTAGTTGAATTCTATTTGAAGCCTGTAGAAATAAATATTAAAAAGCTAAACAATCGATCCATCATTGAGATTATCGGTGGAGTCATTTACATGTCCAAGGAGGTACCAAAAATTGAGAAAATTATACGGCGTAATGAGAGTGATAAAAGAATCGATGAAGTTCGATTCATCTCTTTGTACATGTTTGAAATCGATTATGATTTAAAAAATTCTCTTTGGCATGGACTCAATGTATTTATAATGGCTACGAAAGTTAACGTATCGAAGAAATGTGAATGGAATCTATCGGGTAAACATTCTGAAAAACATTTCATGAAGGCTTCTAGTGGCAGTTCCTATGGCGAGGATGGTCAAGATGGTCAAGATGGATATTCTGGCGAAAGTAGTGGAAATATCATGATATTAGCTGAACAAATCGATCATCCTCAAAGTTTGTCAGTGATTCTAAATGGTGGACATGGTAGTGATGGACAAGATGCAGGTGATGGTGCTGATGGAAAAGACGGAACAGGAATTACGATGAGTGAATTGAAAACGAAATATCCAAGTCCCATACGCTTTTTGTCTCTGACACAAGATGTTTCCACTTTATTTACTAAAGTATCATCGAAAGGAAAAGCGGAGATATACTGGATCAAACATCCGAATAGATATATCGAGGTTAAGTTAAGTAATGGGGAAAAAATCATCTACTCGTTAAGTAGATATGGTGATTTTCAATGTTACTTATTATATAAAGGAAGCAAAGGTGAAGCAGGAGGTCGTGGTGGATTGAATGGATTAGGTGGAGATGGAGGATTTCAAGGTGAATGTATTGTTACAACGAAAGATAATAAAGTATTTCCGGTTCACATCGCAGGTACGAAAGGTACTAGGGGTCAAAATGGAAAACCCGGTCGAACTGGCCAATATGGCAAGAATGGATGGGATGTTGGCTATACAGCTTACATATATTGGACACGTATAGATGAATTCGGTGGAAATCACAATCAACGACTAACTATGGATTATTCTATGAGTAGTTCGAATCGAGTTTACTGTGGATATCGTTATGATGAACTCAGATCTTCAGCTTGTTATGCGACCATTAAAGCATCAGTTCTTGAAAATCGTAAATTAACCGAAAGCGAGAAGTCACGCGAAGCACGTAAAGAAGCAAAGGCAACTCGCAAAAATGTCTTGTCAAAAATAGCTTTGGAGAAAGAATACAGTGAACACTTTGAAGGGTGTGGGGTGTGGGTGTGGGTGTGGGTGTGGGTGTGGGTGTGGGTGTGGGTGTGGGTGTGGGTGTGGGTGTGGATGTGGGTGTGGGTGTGGGTGTGGGTGTGGGTGTGGGTGTGGGTGTGGGTGTGGGTGTGGGTGTGGGTGTGGATTCGGGTGGTGTTCGTGTAGGTGTGGTCGTGGGTTTATGTATCAGTATTTGTGTAAAGAAGATTTTCACACCCACACTC